CAGCAGCTGAATCCAGTTTGCAGCTTTTCCAGCACTTTACTGCACCCTCCCTCAGACCACCAGCACCCGCAGAAGCTGGCTGGCTCCCCCTCTTCATGGCACAGCCCCAGCAAATCCTTCCCCTCATGTTCAAAGGGCCATTTCTCTGGGATCAGAGACACCACAAGATGGACAGTGTGCTTTCCTTAACGTCTGAGTTTCAGCTCTATGGGACCCCGTCTCTAAGTTTCTAGGCTTTAATCATTTGAACCTCTTTCTTTTGTTCCTAACCCTAGGAATGAGGCTCCTTCCTCTAGCCTCTGTCATATCATAGGGTTCTCTTTTTATTATTACTGTTATTTAATTAACAACTTTATACCTAGTTAACAATTCTCTAAACTTTTCAAGTGACTGCCATAGTTTCTCTCTTCTGATTGGACCCTGATTGATGCGCCATCCACTTAGATCTTAATGTTAAATACGGTACTTTTTGCTTCTCAAATGTCCCTTTTTTATCCTTTTATAGCTTCTACTCCCAAGCAACAGTCTTAAGCTCACTGGTATAATAAGCCGTCATAATTGAGTTGCTTCCACTTAATGGGCCTCATTAATTTTAGTTCCTCTAGAGCTTGATTTGGCAAACTAAGGTCCACGGAGTGCCACATTTTTGTAAATAAAGTTTTTGGAAACACAGCTATGTTCATTTATTATGTATTTTCTGTGGCTGATTTTGAGCTAAAATGGCAGAATTGAGTATTCACAGCACAGACCGTATGGCTTGGAAAGCCTGAAATATTTCTTCTCTGACTCTTTACAGAAAAGAAATTGCTGACCTCTGTGCTAGAGAGCTCCAGTCAAGGCTAGTATAAGGGCCTATCTCCCCTACAGTTTCTGTTTTGTGCACCAAACTGTACTTTCTGTAAGAGGATAAAGGAGAGTATTTCTTGGTGTTTTGTTAGAGGCCTTTAAGACTGACTGAAACGTCCTAGAATAGCTATACTAAAAAATTACAATACCAGTTTTGTAGTTTTGTTTCCTTTAGCACTTCATTCTCACTGATATGGAGATTTATCAAAAGAGGCCAAAAGAGATTATTTCTCTGAGACAATATTCAGTATATTCTATATCTCTTATCTTCCAAATAGAGGGAAATAATCTATAGAAATTGACATGTATCGTGTAGAGATAGGGGGATGCAACTGGGCTTGACTTATACCAAAACGTCTATAAGGTCAAACATGGTTGTAGAATGACTAGAGCAAAGAGGACTATTTAGCAACAGCTGCCCTTCCACAGCTCACTGGGGCAAGTTTCATGTTTCCCATGGGCCAGATATGGATGCTGTAAGGGATTTGACATGGGCCATCTTAAAGGAAACTCCTACAGAGCACCTCATGAAAGGAAAAAGTAATCCCAGCAGATAATGTCTGGGTGCAGTACAACATCTGAAACCAGGAGCATAATGATTTCTTAAGATTCAGTGCCATTGAAGGAGGCAACAGTCATCTCAGGGAAATTCAGGTGGGAGGGCCCATGTGAAGAGATTTCAGTAAAACCCACAAAGGTGCCCTGCAGTAAAGGGTTAAGTCAGCAAACTTGGGGTGCTCATACCCTGCATATTCCAAAGAAAGGTTGGGCCCTTGGCTGGCTCTTGGGAGATAACCTCTAAGCCCTTGGAATATCCTTACTTGTAAGAGTGTCATTGTATACCTGAGGCTTTGAGCCACATCAGATAGTTTGTGCTAACAATGTGATGCATTGTGAATCCTTTTGTGTTTGGCCTCTGAGAGGCCAATTGTTCTTAATACACGCATCAGTTTGACCTCTGAGAGGGCTGGAGACTGAGTAGTTATGATCAATCACATGGGTGCTCCATGCCCATGTGACTCATCCCTAATGAAAACCTCACATATCAAACTTTGAGTTTTTCTAGTTGACAATACTTCATGTGTGTTTTCATACGTTATTGCTGGTTGCATAATGTTTTCATACATTATGCAAGTGCTGTTCATATGATTCCACTGGGAGAGGACAACTGGAAGTTTGTGGAATTAAAAGCAAATAACCACTCATTATACCGAGTGATGAAATTGAGACAGAGGAAGACAAATGTATGATATCACTCATATGTGGAATCTAAAAAAGCTGAACTTATAAAAACAGAGTAGAAGAACAGTTACCAAGGTCTGGAGGGTTGGAGGAATTGAGATATTGTTTAAGGGCACAAACTTAAAACTAACAAATAAATACGTTCTGGAGATCTAATGCACAGCATAGTGATTATAGTCAATAATACTTATTATAAACTTCAAAGTTGCTAAGAGACTGGATCTCAACTGTTTTTTTGTTTTGTTTTATTTTGTTTTTTGCTGAGAATGATTCACTCTGAGCTAACATCTGTTGCCTGTCTTCCTCTGTTTTTTTTCCCTCCCCAAAGCCCCAATATGTATTTGTATCTTCTAGTTGTAAGTCCTTCTATTGCTTGTATGTGAACCGCTGCCACAGCACGGCTACTGACAGATGAGTGGTGTGGTTCTGCACCTGGGAACCAAACTGGGCTGCCAAAGGGAAGCATGCTGAAATTTAATCACTGGACCATCAGGGCTGTCTCTCAATTGTTCTTAATACACAAAAGAAATTATAATTATATTACAGGAGAGAAGTGTTAGCTAATGCAGTCTTGGTAATCATATTGCAATATATAAATGTATCAAATCAAATTGTGGTACACCTCAAATTTATACAATGTTATATGTCAATTATATCTCAATTGAAAAAAACAATTAATTCTACCCTATTTAGTGGTCTATGACTTATCCTTTTATGATCCTTTAAAAGAATAAATGGGGGCCGACCCTGTGGCTTGGTGGTTAAGTGCGCGTGCTCCGCTACTGGTGGCCCGGGTTCGGATCTGAGTGCGCACTGACGCACCGCTTGTCTGGCCACACTGAGGCGGCATCCCACGTACAGCAACTAGCAGGATGTGCAGCTACAACATACAACTATCTACTGGGGCTTTGGGGAGAAAAAGGGAAAAAAAGGAGGAGGACTGGCAATAGATGCTAGGTCAGGGCTAGTCCTCCTCAGAAAAAAAAAAAAAAACGAATAAGTGTTTTTTTGAAATAAATACATTTTTCTTATATAAAGTCAAATAGCAAACTTAAATCTTGTTGCTTACAAACTACAATACCTGCGAGAGAAAGCTGAAATAAATAAATTGAAGTTTTATTTACTGGAAAAAAAAAAACAAATCCCATGTTTTGAATCCACTGTCAAAACACAAGCTTCCTGATAACCCAATGTTAATGGGTGACACTCCAGAACCCAGACTAGGACTGTACCAGGGGAATGAGAAAAATGTAGAACTATCCTGCATTGTAAGTGTTTTCTGTATTTTTCTTTCAAAATAAAGTCTCTTGTACCCCATACTTTATCATTATTCTGAGGTTTTTATGTCTCTGAGCCTTGCTACACTTAATCTTTTACAGTTTTAATCTAACCACAAATAAATATCTTTCTTTCCAAATGCTATTCTTATATCTATCAAAATATCCACTGTTTTGGTGATATTTGGAACATATTTTGAATCCATTCATTTACTCATTCAACAAATGCTTACTAAATACCAAGAAGCTGAGAAAAGTAGTCTTTGCTGGTGAGCAAGTCTGCATTTTAAGTATTATGTTCTTCTTGATTTAAAATCATGCTGGACAATTGGCAAAGATAACAAAATGAGGTATTGGAGTATGCTACATTATGAAAGAGAGAGGAGGAAGAGAGGACAATAGAGCCAATAAGTGACTGAAGAAAATATTTGAAAATTAAGTCAGTGCAATGGAGAGACAGTAATGTTTTGGGGGCCTACATTGTCTAAGATGCTTTTCTGAGTTTTAGCTTTTATTTTATTGATTTAATTTTCTATATTATTGCTTTTTAAAAAATGTGTTTAAAATTGACCAATTGCAGTTCTTCTTAAGTATTAATAATTGAAACCTTTTCTTGCTTACATGCAATCTCCTCATTCTTTGAGAGTTTATCCCAATTGGTTGCCAAAAGTCAGCTTGCTATTTAAGGCTTTTCTGGGACTGTGTTATTTTGTCCTTTTCCTTCACCATGCATTACTTTTTTTGTCCCCTTGGTATTTCGTTGTATTTTTTTGTTTAGTGTACTCATTCTTTATTGATCTTAAATCTGTAACCTATGAGATTGCTCATGCTGTTTTTTTTCTTTCAGGAATTTGTTTTCTTCTCAAGAGTTTTTTGTGAAATATAATTTAGTATACTGCTACAGCCATGTGCTAGAGTTCCCCACATTTTCTAATATATGTTTTGCTTTTAGCTTTCAGTAATAACCAGATGAATGTTCTAAAAGTTTACATTCCAAATTCTAAGTCTGCTAGTTAGACCGTTTCTTATGGTTGGGGCACTTAATTGTTCCTTGATGACTTTTGCTTGATATATTAACAAATGCATGACTTGTTTTAGGAAAAACTACAAATGGCTTGAGACTTGCAAATGACTTTATTTCTTGTTCATATATACTTTTTTATTTTTCATTAAAGTTTTAACATATTACTCAACATGTTTACTGTTCTCATTTTGTTGTCCTTTTCTAGTTTTAAATGAAAACTTAAAATATTTATCCTTCTTTAGGAGTTAAATCTATATGTATTTTTAGGTTATAAATACATCTACATTAAGATATATTCACAGCAATTCTTTATCTATTAGTATCTCAAATCAATATAGTGGAAATTATGTGAGATATCAGTAAAATGTCTAGTATTTTGCCCAGCATAAAATACATTATATATTCTAATTTTACTATTAATTATATCATCACTATTCCGATGGAGAAGCAAAATCCTTTTTCTTTTAACTTATTCCAGGCAGATATTTTCAATAAATCTCAATGACCAATCACAAAACAGAATAAAAGAAATTGGGGTAAATGAAAGAGTTGTGAATAGAGTCCTATTTGTTCTCTTAATTCTTGGGAAAATCACAATCCTTTCAGCCACGTTATGGGGATGTAGCTTTCCTTAGATTCATACAACACTTCAGCTTCCTCAGGACACTGAGAGATGCCTGTTTCAATTTGCTGTTCCATAAAATCAGAAGGAATGGATGAAAAGATGGATAGAAAAATACGAGCACATAGGCAAAAATCTTTGCCACAAAACTGTCTAGAATGGCAGAGGCTGATTTTATTATACTGTTAGTCAAATAGTAGATGAAGAAGAGGAGTAGGAATGAAATCATACACTTCATGGCTCTCACATGGGCCTCTGTGCTAGAATCCCTAGAACCTGTGCCCTTCATCTGCCTGGTGTGGCTCCATAAGGACAGGATTGAAAGGAGTAGAGAGGCCAGTGACACTACAAAGGGGATGAGGAACATTATGTTAAGGAGCATTTGAGAAGTTAATAAATCATATTTTCTCACTGTGAAGTCCCACGTCAAATTTCGTTCAGTGTTTTCCTGGTTTTTGATCAGGCTCCTAACTACTGTCTCCTTAAAGAGAAGGCACAAGCAGAAAGAGAAGGCTTCCCCCAGCACAAGAATGAGAAGCACCTTGTGAATTCTCCATTTCATCCAGAGGAAAATGGGATTAGAAAAGTTGGCTATCTTGAGGAAATAGAAGACACTGAGGCAGGTGGTACAGGCTGTGCAGAAGTAATTGGATCCTGTCCAGAGGATTTCCAAACTTCTCAGTAGATTATCATCATTGTACTGTATTTTCTCATATTTTACATCTAAGCCTATAAATAAAATTACTATGCACAGCAGAAGTATTCTGGAAATAGCTAAGCAGGTGAGAATAAAGTCAATTAAGGAGAACTTCCAGCTCCTGATCCAGTCAATACAGTTAACCAATACAATGAATCCATTTCCCAAAATCCCCATCATGAATTCTCCAGCATAAAGGATCACAAATATCTTCTTCAATGTGCTTGCCATGACTGCCGACAGGGAATCTCTGCCTTCAGTTCTCCACTGATTTGTAAATGAGGTGTTATAGATTTCTGCATCCAAAGATCTCATGTTGAATAAGTTTCTTTTTCCTCTATTTTGATGTCCACTGGCAAAGGAAGGAATGCCTCCAGCGTGCTTCCAAAGTCTTAATAATCTTTGGGAAAACCACCTTTATTCCTCTCAAGATCTCAGCTACTGATTTTCACTGCAGGTATTATATTACCCACTGCTGTGACTCTGCTTATAATTTCCATGTAAAGCTGTGCATTAGAATTTGAATGCTGGTTTGTTAAAACACAAAATAGAGATAGATTTTTAAATATTTTTTTACAATACCTTCTTTTCTTTAAAATGTAAGCATTTTTTTTTTAATTTAATTTTATTTTTTTCCCCCCCAAAGACCCAGCAGATAGTTGTATGTCATAGCTGTACATCCTTCTAGTTGCTGTATGTGGGACGCGGCCTCAGCATGGCCAGAGAAGCGGTGCGTCGGTGCGCGCCCGGGATCGAACCCGGGCCGCCAGCAGCGGAACGCGCACACTTAACCACTGGCCCCGTGGCTTAGTGGTTAAAATGTAAGCATTTTTGATTCATTCACCTTAGTTATAAGCTAAAAAGATTAAAGTCCAATCTAGAAAATATGGTGTTTCAGTCTGGTTGCTCTGCAAAACAAAGAAATCACTGAGGGAAATGCCGGAATGGGAAGTGCACGAGGGGGCGGAAGGCTGAGAGAGCTGTTATGATACAGGTAGGTCTGACCTCTGTGCAGGAGAGAGGGAAAGAAAGAAGGAAGGTCTTAGGAGACAATGCAGTCCTAGGAAAGTTCTAAGAAGGCCAGTGGGTGTTGTCAAGCCTGTGGTGCACATCAGAGGTGTCATGAGCCTCGCAGGAGCAGGCCTGCCGTGGAATCTCTGCACTGCTCAGTCATTGGCTGGGAGCAGCTCATCAGAGGGAAAGGGGTGATGGGGTGCAGAGCACAGGAACATGGGCCTGTCAGCTGGTGGGGAAATATAATTAAAAGCAAAATCTTCCCCCAATCCAGATAACCTCTCCACAAAGGTAGTAGAGAAAGAGAACAGTTTTATTATTGAATAAGCATTAAAGCAAAATCTGATGCACATCACTGGCGGTCTGCTAAGGGATTGCAAAAACAGAAAGAAATCTGACACTTTTACATAGTGAAACAGACACAACTCATTATATACTGTTCTCAAGGTAAACAGTAACTAGTCGTCTCGTAAGAGGACTTGGCAGCACCATTTATTACACGTAGTTTATCCTACATTGACCTGGTATTTGCAGTGACCGTCTGTGTTAGATAATTGGCTTTATACAAAGGAAAAATAAATTCATATCTTTATGACAGGAGATAGTTAGGCTCATGCCTTCCGACAGAAACTAGGAGATAGAGGTGCTTATTTATAACGTGGAGAATTAAACCTCTTATTTTTAATTTGTTTTTGCCCTTACATAGCAACTTATGCTCCTTAAGTCAGAGAACAAGAGGCATATTTTCCTCATCACCACATGCAGCAATATCTTAAATTATATTTAAAGTTTACCTTTATTATTCATCTCACCAATACATATTATACATAAAATACCAAAATTTTATGTAAATACAGAAAATCTGCTGTCCAAATTTACACCAGGATCTCTTAGAGTCTATGGCAGTTTTGAAACATGGCTGCAAACTCTTCAACCCTCTTCTTACTGAGATCGGGGGGCTGCAACCTCTCCTCTTGAAGCTGGGTGGGCTTGTGACTGCTTCAACCCATAATTCAGTAAAAATGACATTAGAGGATTTCTAAGGCTGTCATAAAAAGCCCAGCAGGTTTTGCCTTAGTCATTACGTTTCCTCTTAGAATCCTGAGCACTCTATAAGAATTCTGACAAATCTGAGACCACCCCGCTATGAGGAAACCCAAGTCACATGAAGAGGCCACCTGTAGGGAGTCTGGTGAACCATTCCACTGAGCCCAGACTAGGAATCATCCCAGGCCAGGGATAGACATGCAAGTAGAGAATCTTCTTGGTGATTCCAGCCCCTGCCATTTGAGTCATATTCACCCATGTGAATATTCAAGTTTGAGCCCCAGATATTTTGGAGCAGAGACAAGCCATCCCACTGTGCTCTGTCTGGATTCCTGACTCACGGAATCTGGGAGCAGAATAAAATGGTTCTTTTGTATCACTGAATTTTGAGTTAGTATTTTAAAGAGCCGTAGATATTCAGAACACAATTATTTAGTATATAAATAAAAGTCTTTTATTATTTTTATTCCAATTTTCCATCTAGCTCTTTCCCTCATACAAATATTCATACTTTTTTTTTTTTTTTGTGAGGAAGATCAGCCCTGAGCTAACATCCATGCTAATCCTCCTCTTTTTGCTGAGGAAGACCAGCTCTGAGCTAACATCTATTACCAATCCTCCTCCTTTTTTTCCCCAAAGCCCCAGTAGATAGTTGTATGTCATAGTTGTACGTCCTTCTAGTTGCTGTATGTGGGACGCGGCCTCAGCATGGCCGGAGAAGCGGTGCATCGGTGCGTACCCGGGATCCGAACCCGGACCACCGGTAGCAGAGCGCGTGCTCTTAACCACTGAGCCACGGGGCCGGCCCTCATACTTTTTTTAATGTAAAATTATGTGTAATTTTTAAAATTGGGCATAGGATCTGAATAAACATTTCTATAAGGAAGATATACAAATGGTCAATAAGAAATGAATAGCAGCTCGACATTATTAGTCATCAGGGAAATGCAAATCAAGACCATAATGAGGTACCACTTCACACCCACTAGGATGACTAGAAATAAAAAGTCAGATAACAACAAGTGTGGGCCCGAATGCTGAGAAATCAGAACCTTCATACACTACTGTTAAAAATGCAAAATGATCTTGCTGCTTTGCAAAACAGTCTAGCAGTTCCTCAAGAGATTAAACCTAGAGTTACCGTGACACAGCAATTCCATCACTAGATATAAACCCAAGAGAAATAAAAATACATGTCCACACAAAAACTTGTAGGTGAATGTTGATAGCAACATTATTTCTAAAATGCAAAAGATGGAAAAAATTCAAATTCATCAATGGATGAATACTTAAATAAAATGTGCTATATCCATGTATGGAATATCATTCAGCCATAGAAAGGAATAAAGTACTGATACATGCTATGACATGGATGAACCTTGAAAACATGATGCTCAGTGAGAGAAGCCAGTCACAAAGTCCACATATTATATGATTCCAGTACGGAAGTCTAGAGTAGAAAATCTATAGATACAGAGTATAGATTAGTGGTTGCTAAGAGCTGGAGTGGTTGGGGGTCGGATGATGAGGATACAGGGAGGTGATAGCTAAAGGGTATGGGGTTTCTTTGCAAAATGATGAAAATGTTCTAAAATTGAATGTGGTGATGGTTGCACATAGCTATGAGTATACTAAAAACCATCAAATGCACACTGAAGTGGGTGAATTGTATGTTATGTGAATTATATCACAATAAAACTGTTTAAGAAAAAAACAAATATATGACTTTTTTTTCATCAAAGACTGTGAATATAACATTTATGTACAGTTTTCACAGTTTTCTTATACATTGAAGTGATCCTATTTGCTTAGTCATCTTTAATTCTGATGAGGTATAAATAAAACATAACCATCGTCATTTCACTTTAGTTTACTATTAGTTATTGAGGAGCTTTTTACTGCTCATATGGAACATGACAGGATAGGTTATGCTGTAGCATCCAAAATGTCAGTTTCATAAAATGTGCATTTCTTGGTTCACATTACATAACTAATCGAGTTTAAAAGTGCAGAGCAGGGCAGAGGCAGTTCTTCTCCATGTAGTCTCTCAGAAATGCAGGCCAAGGGAATATCTAACACCCAACACGTGACTTTCAAAGTCCCTCACTGGAGAAGAGATGGACATAGAGGTTCATGCTCAACCTCTTCAATAAATCAGCCCCAAAGTGGCACGTAATTTTGCTTAAAGCCCCCATTGGCCTGAACAAATCACATACCCCAGTTAATTGCAAGGGCCTGGGAAATATGAGGTGCACGTGGACGTTCAGTGAGTGGCAAATGTCTCTTGCACAGTCCACACTTCCAGTCACAAAATACAATTTTACTCCCTCTTCATTCATATAGAACATTCTCTCATCTCCCCAAGAAAGATAACCCAAAGACAAAGCTCAATATGTACAGCTCAAATTCTCAGATCTCTGGTCTGGACTTGGCTCCTCTTGATACAGACATTTATAAAGTAAAATGACTATTACCTGTTCCTATCCACCATCCCCCACACATCCAGTATGCAATGGTGCAACAGGGACAGGCCAACAGCAAATAAACAAGCATCTTCTTTCACAGTTCTCAGATATATTCATTT